GGCGCAGTGACCGCCAGTACCAGGCAGTAGGGGCATAGCCAAAACCGCAGCCACACTCCACTAGCATTTCGCTCTGGGAGCGTGTTTTCCTCATCCATGAGGTGAGGAGTTCCTGGCCATGGCCCGGAGTCCCTCTTGGAGCAGTTGAACCTCCGCTACGCCCCCAGTCAACAGCTCGTGAGGGGGACATGCAAGCATTTTGCCCACCATATACACCGCAATGTCCAAGGCCAGAGTCACTTTGCCTCGGTCATTGCAATCGTCCAGGAGGTCATCGGCGCGGCCCAGCAAGAAGAGGAAGCTGAAGAGGAGGCCAAGGAAAGTGACCCAGTCGTCGAACCAACGGAGGTGGCAGATCAAGGCATGCAGCAGCGGCCTCAGAGGGAACTCTCGACTTTTTCAACCGGTGGTCAAGATGCAATTGGCATTTACCTAGATTGCGGGAGTTCATTGTCGAAACAGATAGTCAACAAAAACGACAAACAAGCACACATAAGCGACAAACACAGAAGACACACAGACAGCAAAAGCAAAACAAATACAACACCATGAACGGATGCAAAAAAAGCAAGAACAACAAAAAACGAAAAGGACGAGGGCGCACACTTTAACAAAATAGCGCAAACTTGAGACGATTGAAAAAAAACAACACCTACAAGGAAATACAACAGCAAGAAACAAACAGGCTTGTTCTACTACTACTACTACTGCTACTACTAACTCTCACTTCTACTTCTACTTCTGCTTGTGCTTCTGCTTCTGCTTCTACTTCTACTACTACTACTACTACTACTACTACTACTACTACTACTACTACTACTACTACTACTACTACTACTACTACTACTACTACTATACTACTACTACTACTACTACTACTACTACTACTACTACTCCTACTACTACTACTACTACTACTACTACTACTACTACTACTACTACTACTACTACTACTACTACTACTACTACTACTACTACTACTACTACTACTACTACTACTACTACTACTACTACTACTACTACTACTACTACTACTACTACTACTACTACTACTACTACTACTACTACTACTACTACTACTACTACTACTACTACTACTACTACTACTACTACTACTACTACTACTACTGCTACTACTACTTCTGCTACTACTACTACTACTACTACTACTACTACTACTACTACTACTACTACTACTACTACTACTACTACTACTACTACTACTACTACTACTACTACTACTACTACTACTACCACTACCACTACCACTACCACTACCACTACCACTACCACTACCACTACCACTACCACTACCACTACCACTACCACTACCCCTACCACTACCACTACCACTACCACTACCACTACCACTACCACTACCACTACCACTACCACTACCACTACCACTACCACTACCACTACCACTACCACTACCACTACCACTACCACTACTACTACTACTACTACTACTACTACTACTATTACTGCTACTACTACTACTACGGCTACGACTGCGACTACGTGTCAACAGCCGAATTGCATGGTATTTACAATGGATTCGTGCTTCGGGTCCAAAAGCGGAAAAGGCCATTTTGGGGACCAACTATTCCGCGGAAGTGAAAAGGCCGGATTTGGCATGCTTGGCTTCTCTCATGGCCCTGGCAGTGAAGTTTAGGGTTAAGGGGACATGCTTTGCTTGTTTCTCTCATGGCCCTGGCAGTGAAGTTTAGGGGTAAGGGGACATGCTTTGCTGGCAGGAAGTGTCGCAAATACCGATGTTTTTGCATGGACATCGTACGGACATGGATGCTCTGGCCATTCGCACGCAGTGGTCACACGAGCGTTATCGTCGTGCGGACCTGGGTGCTTGCGGACAGGATGCTCTGGTATACGACGGACGTTGTCATCGCGCGGGCATGAATGCTTTGGGAACACGGACGCTCTCATCGTGCAGACATTCATTCGCACGCAACGAAGCCACGAAGTGTCGTAAGTACCGATGTTTTAGCATTTCGAGAAATTTTATGTGCGCCCATGCTGCGAATTTACAAGGAACGTACCTTTCTGTGTCAATTCGCACGCAGTGAAGCCAGGAACTGTCGTAAATACCGATGTTTTCGGCATCCGAAGGCAGCAGAATACCAGGCGCCACAGGAAGCACATGGCTACTACTACTACTACTACTACTACTACTACTACTACTACTACTACTACTACTACTACTACTACTACTACTACTTCTACTACTACTACTACTACTATTACTACTACTGCTACTGCTACTGCTGCTACCATTGCTACTACCACTGCTACTACTGCTACTGCTACTACTACTACTACTACTACTACTACTACTACTACTACTACTACTACTACTACTACTACTACTACTACTACTACTACTGCTACTGCTACTACTACTACTACTACTACTACTACTACTACTACTACTACTACTACTATTATTATTATTGCTACTACTACTGCTACTACTACTACTACTACTACTACTACTACTACTACTACTACTACTACTACTACTACTGTTACTACTGTTACTACTATCACTACTACTATTACGAGTAATATATTATTATTACTACTACTACTACTACCACTACTACTACTACTACTACTACTACTACTACTACTACTACTACTACTACTACTACTACTACTACTACTACTACTACTACTACTACTAGGCGTCGCGTTCTTAATTGATCGCAGGGGTTTTGTGGCATGCAATTTTCGTGTTAAGAGACCAAAACCTCGGTATTTACAGTGTTTCCTGGCTTTGTCCGTTTACGGACACGAAAAATGGATGTGTAAAAAGTCGCGCAAACTACTTTCAACTACTTTATGCGCAGGAGGAAAACATCGGTATTTACAGTGTTTTCGGGCTTCAAAAACGGTCAATTACAGGGCCTATTTTGCGCAGACGTGTTCTCAGAACAGAGGAAAAGATCGGTATTTACAGCGTTTCGCGGGTTTTTTAAGATGTGGCCAAACTTGTCCTTAAACCCGAACGCCTCCAGCAAACGAGGGCATTGCATGCATTTCCTTAGCGTAAGGGCTGTGCGGCATGAGCGTGCGTTGTGAAAGCCTTCCTGTTTTCTGCAGAGCTTTTACGTGACCGAACCGCTTATCCCTGTAGTGTTCTGCATGGAGTGCCATCCAGCTTTTGTTTTCAGCATGGCAGCAGATATGCGCGAGCAGATCCCGAGCGAATTGTTTGCTGCATTTGCTGCTGGTCCAGTGACGGACATCCTCAAGGCTGGTAAACCCTAAACCTCAAATGCCCAAAAAACCCAAAAGATCTGTAGCCTGAAAAAAAAAACAAAAGACTTGTAGCCTGAAACCTGAAACCCCATATGTCCAGTGGAAGCCCAAAAGGTTCCCAAAACAGGCCCGAAAAAAAACTCCACCCGGAAACCCCAAATCCTCAACCCTCCACTGTGAGCCCAAAAAAACAGAGCAAAACAGTTGAGCGTGGTCATGTGTGCACAAAGCAGAGCACGTAATTACCCCCCCCCCCCCCCCCCCCCCCCAACCCGTCAAACGCAGGAAAAACCAGAAAAACGATAGAAAAACTGAAAAAACAGCAGAAAACACCATGATCAGTTAAGAGCGTGTACTACTACTACTACTACTACTACTACTACTACTACTACTACTACTACTACTACTACTACTACTACTACTACTACTACTACTACTACTACTACTACTACTACTACTACTACTACTACTACTACTACTACAGTACTACAGTACTACAGTACTACAGTACTACAGTACTACTAGTACGTACTCGTACTAGTACTAGTACTAGTACTCGTACTAGTACTAGTACTAGTACTAGTACTAGTACTAGTACTAGTACTACTACTACTCCTACTACTACTATTACCACTACTACCACTATTACTATTACTACTACTACTACTATTATTACTACTACTACCACCGCTGCTCCCACTACTACTGCTAGAAGAAGGTCCAGTGGACCCGGGGGAAACGTCCAAAGCAAGCTACTTGGGTCCTTGGCTTAGCGCAGTCACTCGGTCTGCCGATTGTTTCCTTGCTCCTCGCGCAAGTCCCTGATCACAGTGCCGCTCGATCCCGTTCGGATCGTACTCAAGAGCTCGCAAAACCTGCTGCGCAGCTGCAGTACGTTAACAAGCACTATGGCGGGTGTGTTGCCTTCGGCTAATAGCTCAGCTACTCTGCCTTGAGCTACGACCTAACTTCGAGAGTCCACAGCTGCAGTCGGGTTGACGTGAAGCTGTACAAAAGCAAAAGCAAACGACATGCAATTGCTACGTCACTGCATCACATGCTACAATGATGCCTGCTGCAAAGTGCAACATCACAACGCGCGAAGCGAGGGGACATGTCTCTATCACACAAGCACAGCCGCTTCCAGCAGCCCCGGATTTTAAAGAGACATGGATCCCCGATTCCGTGCAAACGGCGAAATCTAGACAGGCTACCCTACGGGCTACCACCTGCTCATACATGCGCTCAGCTCAGCTCGAGGATGCACGATCCGGCCCCTTGGGCGGTCCTTTCTCGCGATGCCTACGCCTCGGTTCGAAATCCAACTTGGCAGGGACTGAACGATCCCACATGTCGGAGAACCAGGCCTTGTAGGTCTCTACGCGAGGATCTCCCTCGGCCTCTGCTGTTTCGTAGCGCATGACCATTTCAAAATTGCATATACTGGCTCGGGTGTAATTGTGCGACCCGGCGTAGATGCTCGTGGTTGGCCCACGGTCCACTAAAAGTGTTTTTGCGTGGAGCGCGCCGGACCAACCCGTTTGTCGGGGGTAAATGAGCGACAACGGCTTCCCCGATATAACATGGACCTCAGTTAACACCGGGCTCTCTCAAGCTTTGCAAACGTGGCAGCGAATCATTACATGACCGACTGTTTTTCTCATCCACGAGCAAGAGAACCTTAGCCCCGGCTTCTGCCGCGGCGCACAACGCCGGTGTCACTTGGTCACACAGTCATACGTATAGGCTGTAGCCATGATCACATTTGGACCCGAGTCGCTCGTCGACGGTGAGATGTCAACGACAGCTTTACTGAGCCATTCACTGTCTGGGAGAAGCGTAACGGACGCAATGCTAGCGTCATATCCCGTCGTGGGAGCCTTATTCTGGGAGGCTTGACGAAGGGCGTGCTGCGCTCTGAGCTGCGTCTGAAGGCCTGCTGTCCTTGTCTCAGATCGCTCTAGCTCTTTGCGGAGCTGCAAGTTCTCCTGCCGCAACAGCTCAAGCTCAAAAAGTGTACCGCCTGACACAGCGGTGGCTGGGGAGATGGCACCGGTGGAGATTGAGGGGCTCGCGCCTTCCAGCGCGGGAACATCACGGCTGCTCCTGGGCGGCAAAGACAGTGCAAGGCGACGTGAGGTAGTTGGGGCTGCAGCGGCACTTGTCACAGCCCCTTCAGCCTCTAGCCTCTTTGGGTACGCAGAGGTCAACGCCTCTTTAAAGGGAATGGCTTCTGCGAGTGTGAGCACTCGGTTCAACCCCAAATGCTCCGTAAGCCCATCCCAAAACGCGATAGTCTTCTTATGGGCCGACGCCGGTGCAGCCAAAACACTAGGTCGCAACTTGCGCTGCGGCGCAAAAGCTTCCGGCAACGCCTGACCCAACACATTGCAGTCAAGGTACTGTGCCTGGGAGAAGGGCTCAATGGACACAAACCCTTCAATTGCGCCCCAGGTGTTGCGGGCCTCTATCAGCTCGGTCTCCGTCGACACTCGCTGCCTTAGAGCCGCCTCAACCACAAACGGCAAAGAACACATCAGAACAATGAGCGCGCCCTGGTGTGCTCCAACCAACAACCTCGGCTTTCGCCGGCATACCTCACGAATCATGGTCATGACCCCAGTGAGGATCTGTTTTCGGAGTCGTCTAACCGTCTCGGACATCTGTCTGGCTCGAGCGTCAATCCAATAGCCCACGTTGTCGTCATCGGCAAACGACGTGGCGCTAGGCGCAACGGTCGACTCAACCCCAGCAGTGCGCAAACCCTCTTCAACCAGATCGCACTGCGTCTGCAAATCTGGCTCGGCCTGATATGCCGGGGCATACAACACTGCAATTGGGCGCTATAGGACCCGGTCCTTTGGAGGTCTCGCGACTTCCGCGGCCACCTGCGCTGCGTCGCCTCGCCTCGAGCAACTTCCTCCTTGGACGCCGCCTTAGGAGAAGGGTTCGGCTCCGGAAACTCAAGGAAATCATCGCAATCCGGGTCCTTGAGCCGCGCGTGGGCAGTGGCCAACTCGCGCGACTCGCGCGTTCGCTCCTCAAGCCTCTCCAACATCTTCTTCTCCTGGTCTTGGGGCAGTGAGGTCGTGTCGAACAACCTACTCAGCCCATCGGCCAAGCGCATGCTTCGGCCTGAAAGGTTCCGAATCTCACTTCCATCTGCAGTGAGCTCGGAGCATGTCCGGAAACTGACAGGATCAACCTGGTCAAGGGGCTTGTCCTGTAGCCGCGCGATATTCGCGTGATCGGTGTACATTATCACTGGTATAGACCCAAACAGCGCGCGGAACTTCCTCCGGCATCGCAGCTGTGCGTGCTGCTCTTGCCGAAACGGGTGCCACAAGGTCTGCGCTGGCGTCAAGCTCTCAGCATGATAGGCCAACGGCAGCCACTTCTTGAGGTCGGCGCTCATCTGCAAGTGCGCTCCCCCCAAGCCAGCCTTGCAACAGTCCGCCAGCTGCTCGTAAGGACGAGATCCTGAAGCTGCCGCGTGCTCATCGGACACGGAAAGACACGTAGCCTTCTTCATCAACTTCTTCAGCCGCTCGACGGCCTCTGGGCCTCGAGGCGTGAGGGGAAAACCAGCATCGCCCTCCCTGAGATACCTTCTCAACGGATCCATGGCCACTGCAAATTTCGGGCCAATCTGATCCCGGCTGTAGTTGGCAGTTCCCAAGAACTCCTGCAGCTGCTTCAGATTCTTGATCTCTCCCCACTGCGCATGGGTCTCAACCTTCGCCGGGTCGGGCGATCGCCCATGACGTCCGACGATCTCTCCCAAGGACTTAACTTGTGGCTTCAACAAAACCAACTTGTCAATCCCCAAGGAAAACCCACTGCATATGCACACGTCAAACAACTCAACCAGCTCAGCTATATGCTCCAGAACACAGGGCCGCGCTCCAGGATAGCTGGCCTCGAGATAAGCACGATAGGCCTGGTAGTAGCTCTCCGTCGGCACCTCGTCGTTCAAGATGCTGTCAACCAGTTCCTCATTCTCAATGAGATGGTAATGAAACTCGGGGTTGCAATCCCCGGGAGAACTCCCACGCGTGAGATCCACCAAGTGACCTTCCATGACCCGATTCGGTCCACGCTTCTGGCCTTGCAAATCGTACCCAACCTCCGCAAGCTGGAGCTCTGCCAAGGCACTCGCCTTCCCCAAGTCCACGTGCAAGAACACGGTCAACGTGTCAGTCGGCTCAGTGAACTCCATGAACTCAAGGGGCGTGTAGCACCGCTCCAACAACTGGCCCGTGACACCACAGAAAGTCAAGCGGACTCGGATGTCATCGACTTTCGGACCAAACCCATGAGGAGGACTCCTCATCAGAACAGACTCGGTCGCGGGGCTGAAGACGCTCCACGCAGCAAGCCGCGGCTCCTCTTGCGCAAGCATGCTGAAACCAAGTCTCTTGCCTAACGGTGGCAGTGGTTCGCCCAACGTATGCGCCGTGTAAGCCGCAAGCGAGATGCGGGTTCCTTCGAACGGTAGAACCGCGTGCTTAGCCCGTCCATCAAACTTAAGCACCGTGTTCTTCGCGCTCACCTTGAAGCCCGGGAGACCTTCGGGATGCTCTTCGTCCTTCCATACAGACGGTTCTGCTTGGCGCGGGCAATCTGCCGCCAAGGCGGAGGCAGACTCAATCCACACCTCGCCGCCCTTGTACTTGCCGCTGCAGTACAAGAAGTTGTAAGTGCCCTTGACGTTCTGCGAATCCCGGTGGATTGCAATACCAGTACTGAAAGACACCTGCAGAGCATTCCAACTCTCAGCACTAGTCCACTGTTCTTCACACCTCCGTCGAAGGAAGCTGTTCAGATAACGGGCTGTGGCCTGCCACAAACGCGTCAAGTTTGTGACGCCGGTCATGCCTCCGAAGCGGAAGGCCCCGAAGATCATGCGTCGGCGTTCCACACCTGCGTTGCGTCGTTTCCGACGGTCTGGCCGCGCGCACTGCGGCTCAATTTCCCACGCGAGCTGCAACTCGTGGAGAAATTTGGTGCACGGCGCGACGGAAAAGTCCTGCTCACGAAACAGGCGTTCGGCGTACCTCTCTACAGTGTCCCTCGCTCTTGGCTTGCGAGGTCGAGCCATAGGTGGCATCGGGCAACAGCCCACACTCGGAGCACGCTTCCCCGATTGCTCCACCCAGAGAGGGCAACTCTGCGAGGGCCGCAGAATGCGCTGCCAACTTTCGCTTACACAAGCTACACCTAGACCCATCGCCAGACGGATCCTTAAACACCGCTTGACCAGCGGCAACAACCTCCCCAACTTCCCACTGCTGCGGAAGGAGAGAATCGTTGTGCGCTACCACAGATCCCTCTCGGCAGATGTCGGGGTCAAAATGCCCATAGGCGACTTCAGGTCCGCCTTCCACAGGAACAACCCTCGTCACCCCATTGGGTGTACCAATCCACGTGACTGGCGCGACAGCCGACTGATCCGCCTCGAGGTAGACCTCGGCATCTAACATAGCTCGGAGTGGGGCCAACCGACACTCTGTACCGTCTAGCAAAAAAGTCTCGCGATCGAGCTCTAGTCTCGGCAGCGTAATCCCGAGCTTCTCGAAACGATGCCCGGACTCCACTACCCGGTGCTGGAGCCCCTTGGGACCAAGTGTCGGGAAGCCCAACCACAATCCCTGGAAAACCTGCGGAATCTGCTGGCATCACTTTGAGGCGAACAGCCGCCACATGGGGCGATCCCTTGCCCGCTGGCGTGAACACCGACCGCAAAACAACGAAAAAACGCGTCTCAATGCTGGTCCCTTTCTTAAAACCCATCATTGACTGAGGATCTTTGGAGAAATCCCCAATCTCGCGAATTGGGCAATCGCGGTCTCCCCACTTGTACTTGCCTGAGGCAACATCGATGCTCACACGCTCGTAAACCTCCGCAAACAACCACTCGGCTATTGACCCACACGTAGCTCCGGTATCCAACAACGCAACAAGATCAATGCCTCCGCACGAAACCTTAGTCTGCGCATTGAACCCCGGCGTGGGCGCGGAAGCCACAGTCTTCCGGTCTGCGGGGAGTTTACTCATGTTCCCCGGCCAATGGCGCCAGCCTTTGGCACCGGGCTCTACAGTCTGGTGTGAAGTATCGTAAAGAGGCACAGGGTCTCCAGCTGATCCCGGTGGTACCTCAAACAAGGGGTAAACTCGCTCATCAGAAGCGGCAGCTGCTTTGGCCTTTGCAGCTTTCGCCTTGGCCTTCTTGCTCTTATCCCCGGATGGTTCCTGCTGCTGCTGCTGGTGCGCAGCATTTCCCTTGGCGTGAGAGAACCTACACTTGTCGCCGTAGGTGCAGCGTCCATTGGCAAACAAGCGGCAAGGCTGCTTGGCCTTGTCCTGATCCTTGTCAGCCTTTCCACCCGAGCCCATTTTTGTCTCCGCCGCCGCCGCCAGAGGAATACTGGTCCGCAGCTGCGAAACCATGATGTCGGGCTCGGTGAGTGCCATCCTTAATCCCCACTGCTGCACAGAGCTGGCAAACGTTGCCGTTCCTCTGGCTTTCAGCGAGGAGCCCCCGCTTCTCGGCGGCCTTGCGAGGGCATAAGGATACCATGTGACCGGGGTGGCCACAGTGCTTGCATTTGGCATCACCCACACCACTCGGCAAGCTCACCTGCGCCTGCGAGGTATCAGCCTCGGTGCCATCACCACCACCTTTCTTCTTCCGCTGGCGCTTGTCCTTGCTCTTGGGACTTGTTTCCCACGCGCCTCGGCAGTGTTGTGGCTTGCCTCCAAGGCCTTATTCGCATCCTTACGCAAGGTGATCTCACGCGCCACGAGCGCGGCCTCAGACCAGCTTTCCACCCCTCGAAACTCCTGTTGGACCCCAGGGGCTGGCTTCCACGGCCAAAATCGCCGATCTCGCGAGACCTCGTCGCGGAGGTACGACCCAATCTTGTGCAGGTAGTCGTAGAGGAGGTCTTTCTGGCACTTGTAGACCCCAGCAGCATTGAGCTCGGTCAGGGCCTCGAGCCAGGAAACCTGGAACTCCTGAAAAATGAAAGGCAGTGGACTTCTTATCCAGCGCGTCATACTTAGCCCGGGCCTTCATTGCCTTGGCCTCGTCTGACTCGTGGAAACTTGCGTCCAGCGCCGCCACTACCCAATCATACACCACATTTGGTCGCGCCTCATAATCGCCGTTGCTCTTCGCTTCCTTCACGATGGTATCATAGCATCGGCGGCGCGTGCCCTTAAGGGTTCGGGCGAACAAGCGAAGCTTCTCTCTGTCGTTATTCGGCTTGACAACCAAGCACACCTCCTGAAAAGACTCCAAATGGCGGTCCAGATCGGTGTCGCCATCCCCGAAGATGGGCAGGTCGTCCTTCAAATTAAACGTGAACACAGATTTCTCGCCTCGCAGGGATTTGAGTTCCGCTGCTCGATCTCGTGCATCCTGTTCCCTCTGGTTTCGCATCTCCTCGGCAGTCTCGCCGCCGGAGGGATTCGAGGAGGAAGCCATGTCGAAGTGTTGTGCCCGCTGAACGGGAGTGTGCCTCGACCGCTGCGGGGGAGGAGTCAATCGTCTTTGCTCCGAACTTCGACTCCGATCCACATCCTCCTCTAGCACTCGACCCATATCCCTTCCTCGGTGAGCAGCACCGGCAGCAGGAGGGGTATCAGCGCCGCCGCGACGGAAACGAGATGGGGACACCAAACCACAATTCTCCCACAACCAGTCCTGAGAGGATCGGACAGATGCTGCGGAACTCGGAGGTAAACTCCGGGCATCGAGAGCATTCTCGGCCTTCTCATGTAAGGACTGCAGACGTGCTTGAACACGGCCAGATTCGTCAGCACCACCGAGCTCCTTGTAAGCACGAACAGCTCCGTCGTAACGATAGTAGATCGCCACGGGATCTGCTCCGGGCTTCTGCAAGAGTCCGG